TTCTCTTGGAAGCTCTTCCTTTTCCAGATTTTGAATTTTATATATAAGGGCCTTGATATTAAAACTCTTAGGTTGGGCCCTGGCTTGTGTGGCTCAGTGCATTGAATGCCAGCCTGTGAACCAAAAGATTGCCGGTTCGATTTCTGGTCAGGGCACATTGCCTGGGTTGTGGGCCAAGTTGTCAGCTGGGGGCATGTGAGAGACAACCGATGCATGTTTCTCTGGCACATCAATGTGTCTCTCCCTCTTTTTCTCCCTCCCTTCCCTCCTCTCTAAAAATAAATACATAAGACCTAAAACAAAACAAAACAAAACAAAAACCCCAAAAAGTCTTAGGTTGGGACTGAGGATCAATCAGTGTAAAAGTTCCATGCTAAAAGGATCTAGCAATGAGCAGGTAAGCCCTGGTGGACAGGCGCTTCACTATCTCATTGGCCAGGTAGCCAAGTGTCTATTGATGTAGACCTTGGGACCACCCTTCCTCTGGCAATAGTGGCACAGGAATTGGCTACTCCTGTTATCCCAGGAACGGGCTGGTTCTTGAAGGTGTTGGTCAGGGGAAGCCAGGGTCCTGAATGCCCACAGTGGTCTCTTGGCTTATACCTGCTGTTTCTCCTTGATAATCTTCTTGATTAAAATAACTCAAAGGAAAATGATGACCCCTTTCCTCCACACTTAGCTTCCACTTTCTCCCAACAAATCTGGACCCGAACCCCCTATATTTAGCCTTCCGAAGCCCAGTCACAGCCTCAGACTCCTGGATCTCAGCACTGCCTCCTGGTGGGAACTGCCTTGAATTGCAACCCCAGGCCCTGCTTCAGGATTTCAGCCATGTTATGGTTGTAGGTAGAGACATCAGGCCATGAGGAGGGGCCTGCTTGTGAGATCCCACCAGGCTGTGGTGTAGGCCTGACTGAATTCAACAAGTCTGTATTCATTGCCACTCTCTACTCTTGGTGATGCTGCATGAGACAAGGCATAAAAAGAACGTGAGAGTCATGGCTCTGTCCTGGAAAAGCATATAAGCTCTACGTTGTTCATTTTCTTAACAACCTTCCTAAGTGACAACTGCAGGTAAGGGACTCCGGGGTGACCTTGTGAGGTTCCTTCAGAACTGGCACTCAGTTATCTGTGAGCAGCTCCCCCCTGGCGTCCGGATTCCTGATGGGCCAGGCCTCAGCACGGCCTGGGCCTTCTCCCCCCTCTGCAGGTTCATGGAGTTTGAGGCTGAGGAGGAAATGCAGAACCAGAGTACACAACTGATGAATGGCTCCCAGGGTCTGCCTCCTGCAGCCCCTCTGAAACCTGATCCTCCAGGGCCCCAGGCCCCTGAGGTTCGCCAGCAGCCAGGTAAGGCTCCCCAGCTCTATCAGAAGCCATACAGGAAAGGCCAAAAGGGAGGCATACAGAAACCAGTCATGGGTTGGGGAAGGCATTGCCTCTGCCACTTTCCATCTAGACAGTGACATTTGATGTTCCAAACAGGGGAAATGTAGGAGGCTGGATTCTCAGGTTCCCTTTGTCCCAAACAAGGTGTTGATCTTTGCCAAAGTAAACCAACAACTGATACTTTCTCACTGAGGCTGCAAGTGCAGCCCGTAATTCCTTATCTGCTTAAGAAATGGAGGCTGGATCAGGGGACTTCTCAGATTTCAGGGGTTCCAAGATTCCTTATACAGTGATTCTCTCTCGGACCCTCCAGCTCCTCAGTCTTTTCCCATGGCTGGTACTTTTCCGGGTGGCCTGATCCAGCCTGGAACCATTTCAGTGTTCTCCCATGGAGTTGGGAGGCAGAAGCTGTAGTCTCTGTGCCACCTCCCATTTCCCCTTTTCATCTCTTCCCTAGCGTACATTCCCAAGAAGGCGACCTCCAAGGCACGGACTCCCCGCCAGCGGCAGCGCAAAGCCCAGAGGCCTCCAGTTCCTCAGGCACCCAAGGAGATCCCACCAGAAGCTGTGAAAGAGTATGCTGACATCATGGAAGGGCTGGTGGGGAGTCACCTGGCCACTGCGGAGTCAGATGGAAGACAGGAAGAGGAAGAGCAGCCGCAGGAGGAAGGGATGTATCCAGATCCTGATCTTCTGAGCTACATCGAAGAGCTGTGTTCTCAGGAGGTCTTTGTCTCCAAGGTAGGATGGGCCTGGATGTCTGGTTTCTAGTAGATCCTGGGGTGAGAACTCCAGGGAACCACTAGAAACTAGGCTCTGTTCTGAACTGAGAAATGTGTGTGCATGTTATGTATGTACATGTGTGAATGTGTGTAGCTGGTGGTGGTCGTAGTTTATAACAACTTGGGGGAGGGCCTTATGGCTTCTCTAGAACCTCTTGGCTCACAAGTTACCTCCTGTCAGACTCATCACTTTTCCTTCTCTTGACTAGGTGGAGGCCGTCATTCACCCTCAATTTCTGGCAGATCTTTTGTCCCCAGAACAGCAGAGGGACCCCTTGGCCTTAATGGAGGAACTAGAGCAAGAAGAAGAACTTAGTCTTGCCCAGGTAATCCTGAGGAGTAGGGAATATCAGAACAAGAAGCTTGCATAATTTTAGCTAATCCTACACTGTCTTGGATGGTATGACTCCTGGAGATGAACAGCTTCAGGATTGGGCTTCAAGTACTGAACAGCAGGGAAGGGACTATGGACATGCAGGAAAAGGGAAGTGTAAGAGCTCAGAGTGTGGCAATAAGGCCCAAAATGCGGTTAAGAGCTATGGTATGTCTTTAATACTGTCACTTAAGCCACTGCTTGCATTTTCTTCCCTGACTCAGCCACCCCTCCCCACAACCATGTATAGCATGCTATTTGTCCATTCTCTTTCCAGCTGGTCCAGAAGCGACTCCTGGCCTTGGAGGAGGAAGAGGGTGCAGAGGGTCCGCCGAGTTGCAGCGGAGCTCATCTGGACTCAAGTCCTTCTGTTTCTGATGAGGATGAAGATGGGGGTGGGCGGCGTCGGCCCTCACCTGGGCTTCAGGTGGTTGGGGGCACTGTTTGCCTTGGGAAGGCTGCTTCTCCAGGAAGGCAGGCAAGAACAGTGCATGGTGGGCAGGAACAGGCCCTAGATGTACCGAGGAGGATGTGCAGGGATGGGAACAACCTGCCATCCCCCAGCAGCTGGGACTTCCACATAGAACTTGCAGCTCCACAGGGAATTAGAGGGCCCTTAGATACAGAGAGAAGAGGGCCTGGGAAGGTTACGAACCAGATATCCCCACATCAGGATGACTACCTAGGAGGGGCTGGGTCCTCTGGGCACTCCCTGGTGGCTGATGGGACTTGTGAGGCTCTGTCCCTTTGCTGGCAGGAAGGCTCCCAGCTCGAGATAGTTCCCAGTTTGGATGTTGCACTTGTGGAGCTGGCTCCTCTGCAAGGACAGGGGTTAGAAAAGCAGGTCCTGGCGTTGCAGACAGAACAGGCAGGGGGTCTTGGAGTGCTGGCTCAAGGCAAGGAGCTGTTAGCAGTGCCCCAGGAAGGCTCTTCAGGAGTCATGTGGGGAGATGACAGAGGTCCTCCTATGGTTCAGAGTTATGAGCAGAGCTTTTCCCCTAGAACAGCTGAGGGCAAGGATGAGGATGGGGCCTCTTTTAGTCCAGGACTTTGGCTCAGCGGTGAGATGGATGCCATAGGCTTAGAGTTGCCCTTACAAATTGAGGAGGTGATGGAGAACTTCCATGATGGGGAATGTGTCCCTGAGGACCAGGGAGGCTGCTTGGCACTGGGTTCCAGAAGCAACATTTCTCTGGGTCCTGGAGAAACCACAGCAGCTGGGGATGTGGGGAGCAGTGCAATTCCCTGTGGAGGCACAGATGCTACAGCTGCCTTAGAAAGGAGAAATTATAGCCTGGCCTCGAGGCTTAAAGAACAGAGTCCTGAGACTATACAGGATCCCAGTGATCTGTGGGCTGAAGGTTGTCCCCCGTTGCTGGAAAGCAGCATTGATGCCTCCACACTGGTTTCCAAAGAAACCCTCCTGCCTGCTTGTCAAGGCAGTATCTTTATCTTGGGGACCCAGGATGCCTCCCCTTTCCCTGAAGCCAGTCAGGAGGCAGGGAACAGAGGCAGTTCCATTCCTCTGTTGGAAACCACAGGTCACAGCAACATACTAGATGTTAGTGATGGCTGTGGCCTGCAGTTAGCGGCCAGGGAAGACACCTGCCCACTAAATTTTAATTCCTATGACCCCCAACGAGAGGGCAAGGAGGACATTGATTTGTTGAATCCTAAAAACGTTGCTTCCTTACCAGGGACTCGAGAGTCTTATGCATACAGGGCCCCCAAATCAACATCTCCCAGGAGCCTTGGGAGAACTTCCCGTCGATGGAGAACCAGGGATGCCTTAGTTCCAAAAGCCTCTCCAGTTAGTGAAACGTGTGGTTCAACAGGTAGGGCCAAAAAAAAGGAGGATGAGGAACTCTCTAGTGTTGCATACCTCTTGGCCTCTAAACTGAGCCTGTCACCAAAGCAGACTTCTCTCAGTCCTCACCCTGCCTCAGGCTTGTCCCCCACAGGAGGTCAGGGGGTCCAGAGAGCATCCCGCTCCCTCTCTCCTGAGGCAAGAGGCCCCGGCCCATCTCCATATCCTGTTGCCAAGTCTAGGAAGCGAGCTCTAGTTGCAGGTCCAGTCCCTGCTGAACAGGGGCCCCAACTGGGAGCTGAACTTTCAGTCTCTGGGGAGAAACCCCCGGCTCGACCCTCACAGCCTCGAAAAAGGCGGCGTGATAGTTTGGGCACAGGCAGAAGGAAGAAACGCCGTCGTAACTAGTAGGGAGCAGGACCTTCCTATCCCTCCTGCCAGTTACTGCAGCCCAGGCCCCTTGAATAGATTTCACTCTGGCTGCACACAAACCAAACACTTGTGCTCTGTTCTATGTTTTGCAGTTCTGCTGAAGTGCTTAGTGTGGGGAGGGAGGTCACACCAGCTAGGTTGGACGTGGTGTCCTGGTGGGAGGTGAGGATGAAGTGCCTTTGGAAGGAGTTGTATGGGGAAAAAATGAATAAAAGACTTTTTTGTTGTTGGAAAATACTCTCAATGTGCTAATTTTTATTCACTTCTTGGCTCCTAGTGGGGTAAGATGCTGTAAAGAAAGGAGGTGGGTGGCCTTGGATTCTATAGATTGACACTTTTCCGGCCTTTAGCCTTATTTAGGTTCCCTGATAAGCCCCAGCGAGACTTCATCCCTCCTCTCATCAAGGGCCAGGACTTGGTTTTGGGAGGGCTTCTCTGGACACCCTGTCATTCTGTCTCCCTTTAAAAGTCTATATGGAAAGAGGCTCCCCTCCCTTTAAAAAAAAAGAAACAAACAAACCACCTGGAACAGGTATCTAATTTTCTAAATCTAATTTTCCATAATTATGCCTAGACACAGCACCTTTCTTTAGGAGGGACCTTGTTTTCTTCTTTGAAGAGAGACTGAAGGGACTTCAAATGTCCCCAATTCATCCCATGGCAGAAGAACCCTCCTGTGTGGTTGGTCTGAGCTGCCGAGAGGAGACATCACTCTCAGTAGGATTAAAAAATATGGAATGGTAGTTTAGCTATTTTTTAATCGCTAATGAGGACAGAACAAGAGGGAATAGGTTGAAAAGAGGTTCATGAGTAAGCCTGTTAAAATGTGCATAACTAGGGCATAACAACAGGAGGAACAGGCCCCGAAGACTGCCGGACCTCCGTGCAGAAAAGCACCCTGTCCAGCCAGAGGTGAGGAGGATCCTCCGGCCGAGGGGACTGGCCTTGGGAACCTTCAGGACTGTTCCACGGGCAGCTGACAACCACTAATCCCTTTCCTTCCCAGCTAATGATACCATCAATGTGACTGAGCTTCATATTTTTTAAATAGATATAGATATATATTTATATATAAAATAGTTTCTTACAAAAAACCCCAAACAAACGAAAATGGAAATCAACTTGAAAACAGTAACAGAAAAGCAGGAGCAGAGAGGGCTTGAGGCCCAGGGCCGGCCCCTGGTGCTGCCCTGAGTCTGCGGGCTGGATGCTAGCGGGGGATGTCGAGGCGCTCAGTCGCCCTTATGCTTGGGCGTGTGCACAGTCCCATTGGCCAGGGCAGTGGGGCTGCCTGGGGATGAGGCATTTGGTGTCTGGGAGGGGCGCAGGTAGGTGCTGAAGAGCTTCCTGTGGATCGGGTCACAGAGGGAGAAGTCCTGGAACTGACCTGGACAGATGAGAGTGAGACGGGGAAAGGTAAAACAATGTAAGGAGGGAAAGTGGGCGCCCAGCAGTTTTCTCAGAAACGGTATGTCTTGTCCACCTCATCTCTGCTTCACTTCTCAAATCCAAGTTTATGTCCTTTCTGCCTTCCTACGCAGTTCCTCCCATTCTCCCCTCTCAGAGGTTCTGGTCCCTGGCACTGAGGACCGGCCGCCAGCCCTCGTTCCCTCCCAGTCCAGTGCTGAAGGTGCCCTGACTGCCCACGTGGGCTGAGAAGGCAGTGACTCACAGAGGGAGAGGCCTTGGTGGGGTCCTGCCTGGCACAGGTCGGCATGCAGGGTCTCGGCAGCAGGGCGGGGCGACCCCAGCAGCAGGTGCAGGATGGTGCTGAAGCCGTCTTTGTACAGTAAGCGGCTGGGCCCCTCTGCTTGCTCCTCGGCAAACAGCTGGGAGAGAAGGAGACATAATCAAGCCCTCTCCTCAAGCTATCGGCCCACACTCTCCTGGAAGGCCTGCCCAACTGGCTCTTCCTCTTCCAACAATGCAAAGCACAGGCCCTCCCTGCCCCTCTGGGTCCTTTCTGCAGGAGAATTCTAACTTCAGAGTTGCTGCCCTCTTTCTGCCCCCTGCATGTCTCAAAATAGACACTGGGGCTCTGCAGCTCACAGTGTGGCACTGGGGTGGAGAGCAAGCACCTACTATTTAGAAACTATTGGTAACAGTACACCACACGGGCTTCTGGGTGGGGTGCACAGAGCCACCATGCTGCCTCTCTCCCCAACCCCCTGCTACCTCAAAGGCCAGGCGTGTCAGCTCCTCTAGGCCTGTGTCCCCATCCAGAGCTGCCAATGCAAGGGCCACATCTCGGGAGTCCACCAAACCGTTGGCATCCTGGAGTGTGAAAGAGAAACCAGGGCGATGTGGGGACCAACCCGGCATCCTCCATCTTGCTCTGGACTTTGGCTCCTCCCTCTTCTGAGCAGGCTCGGGGGTGACTCCTATGTCCACTTCTCTCTGAACCCGGAGTCCTAAACTCTCCAGGATCCCTGATAGTTCTCTCAGATCATGGAGCTATCCCCCTAAGTCACCTGGTGACAAAGCTCTCCTATAAAGGGATCTCATAGCAATGTTAGGGAATCCCTCAGAAATGCTGAAGTTACCAGTTAAGTGCCTGACCTATCATGCAGGGCATTCCTGGCGTCCAGGCTGGAAAAACTGGTTCTCTCCTGACTCATCCTATGTGGAAGAACTTGTCTTACAGACTAAAAGGGGGCCACTGGCATAATTTCTTAGAAAAAGTCCAAGAAGTCTGCCTGTCACCTCTATGGAGGAACCATGGCATTTGGGCTTGGGTTCTGTTTTGCTTCAGGATTAAGTGGGGAAGTTTCTTGCAGGGACACCTGGTCACTCTCTGTCCCTTCAGAGGATGGTGAGAGCCACAATCTGCATCTTAGATCGAAAAAACTGCTCCCTGGGACCACTGGTGGTTGTTCATAAACATTAAGAATCTTCTGGGACAATCTTATTATAATTTGACAGGAAATTAGGTTGGCCAAGGTTTTTGAGAAAGTTCAGGAACTCCCCAGAGAAGTTACAGGGTATTTTAAAAATCTGCAAATACCTCTGTGTCTCAGACTCTTAACCTTCTAACCTGTCCAGCGTTGTTTCCTCCATGTCGCCTTCCCGTCTAACCTCCATGACTCTTTTCTGAAACCCTCGCACTGTGCCCCCACAAGGTCACGTGATCCCTCATCTCTGCCAATCTCTAAAGTGGCTTAGGAAATTTATGGACCTCACCGACCGATTATTTCTCCATTGTTCCACCCGCAATGATTAAAACATTGCTCTGTGATGTACTGGATACTCTATAAAAAAAAATGCACTCCCCAGGAGACCTCAGAAGTTGGCCATCTGACAACAGCCGTTGGAATATCCAGCCCAGACTCCAAACTGGCCATCTAATGCTACTGACACGGCCACTCAGATACCATCCTTAAATGCTGAGCTCTGCATTCTTCATCCCAGGTCCTTTACCTTCTGGAAGTAGCTAAAGGCACTAGCCACGGACGGAGGGTCAGAGAGCTGTAGCTGCCTGGCAAACTCTTCCTGGTTGATCATTCGACTCCGGCCTGGCTCTGACCCAGCGTCCACATAGCCAAGGGACAGCCTACAATGGAATTGTTGAAGACAGAGAGCTGACTCAGTTTCTTTCTGGGCACATCACCCAGCATGACCTTGGCTCCAGCCCCAAGGGTTTTCCAGTGTAGGTACATCTGGTGTTTTTCTAAGATATATTCTGACTCAGTCCCTTGAGAGCCATTCTTACTTTATTCATTAGAGTAATTCCATATCTTTCCCCTTCCCCCCCCTCCTTCCTTTTCCTCTATTATCTCTTAAAAAATTCTACTTTTCCACTTTTTTTAAAGACTTTCCTTCCTCCTTCCCACTCTCCGTTTTCTTCTTTTTTTTCTGTCTATACATGACACGGACCATTCGCTTCCCTTCAAGGTCACTTACCCAGCCTTGCGAAGAATCTTTCCCAGTTCCCAGAGTTGCGGTTCCAATGCTACCTTCAGCCGGCCCACCACGATCACGGGCAAGCTTCCTACAAACTCACACTCTGTCGCTGGAATGCCCAGGGCCCTACAGGATGAAGGAGGGATGGAATGGAGGGGGAATGAGGCAGAAGAATCTTCTGAGGGTCCATTATTGACAGACTTGCTGACTAGGGAGAGGACCTTAGGCCGCTTTAACTCCCCTCCACCGCAGTGTCAGCTGTCCGACAGCCCTTCCCACTGCCCCATCTTTCCCCCCAAACCTCAGCCCTCCACCTGTTCCTGTGGTCCCTTTGCCCTGTATATCTGCCCCAGGAAATACTTCGTGGAACACTCACTGTGCCATAACCCTCTGGACATTGTTGGCATAGAGGGTGGGGTCCCTGCTCTCCTCTGGGCTGGGGTGGTACACAGGAAGGAACTGAAACACACACACACACACACACTTCTCACCACGACTTCAAAGCCAGGGTGACCACTCCCACCCTCTTCTCCCAAAGAAAGCTTCAGGGGTCAGCAGATGTCCACTCTCCCACCCCACCATGGGGGTCATACCTCCACATCCACGATGCTACAGGGCTGAGAGGCTGTGAGCCAGAGGACTTTGAGTCTAAAAGAAGAGAGACTTCAGGTGCTCACTAATCTCTCACTTTGAGCTCCTCCCACCCGGAAAACTGATATAAAAATGAACTCTCAGTCATAAAGTCAGCTGGGTAAATATGCAATTGGGAGAGAGAGAAGGGCCAGAAAGATGGGAGGAAAAGTGAGAAGCTTTGCGAGGATGTGTCAGAGGAAGAACGGCATGTGAGAAGAGGTCTGGGTAACTGGGAAAAGGGCAAGAGGCAAGCCTGATGGTGGTGGTTCTCAGTAAGAGACGACTAAGTGAGGAAAACCACTTAGGAACAGGGAAGAACTGTAAAAGGAGCTATAATCACAACAGGAATGATTAGGTGGGACAGGTTGGAGCACTTTCAGATCACACTGGGAGATCAGAACGAAACAGTAGGAAATAGACATCTCCTCCTCTAGAGTTCTCTTGTTCAAAAATGAAGGGCTGTTGGTCTTGTTTAGAGATTGGAAGATGGGTCGGGAATTCTCTGATGAACCCTGCTCTCCACCCTCGACCCAGGACCACCAGAACTCACACTCCAGGGCCCCTCCAAGCCCAGCTGGTGGTGTCCTATGGGAGAAAAACAGGTGAAGGGGGAAATGCATTACTTTTCTTCCATGGAACCGGCCAATCCTCTTTGAGCAGAGGTCCTAATCTGCCCTGGCCCCACCCCCACATGCATGTCCCATCATGGCACTAACAGTTTTCACCCATTAGGATGAATTCATGCTCCCTTTCCCCCTTCTCTTGGACTAAGACTCACCAGACTGTTGGGGTAGCGGATGAGGACGGGCTGCACAGGAACCCCTGCGATGAAGGCTCCTAAATCCCATTTCCACCCCCACCCCCCCGGCAGAGGTTAGTACATGGAGGTAGCTAAAGGGCATGAAGTGTAGGAGTCTAGGACAGCTCTCAAATGAGGTCTAGCCTTGCTCTGTCTCATGTATAATTTTCTCTTTGACTTCTCGAGACTTTTCAGTGTCAGCTAGGCGGTTTCTTATCTTCCATTCCCCCCGCCCCCACACTTCTTGGGTTATTCCAGAGTCCCCCTTGAAATCTGAGGTTCCTTTTTCCTACAGCTCTACCACCCACTATTGTTTCATTCACCTGGTTTGAATTTAAGCAAAGCCTTCTTATTGGAACAGGTGCCCTCAGGAAAGAAGAGTACCTGGGGAAAAAAACCCAAGGGAGCAGGATGAGGTAGGGTATAAGAGGAGGAGAGAGGAAAGAGAAGCCTCTTTAGGAGCACATCAAAGGCGAGGAGAGAGTCTTAATGCCCTTACCCACCTGGGGCCACTTGCCTCCTGAGGTAGCCCGCCTTCGGACTTCCTCCACCACTCTGCGCCGTGAGGCCGGGTCATGCCGGGATACGAGGATGGCTTGGTTGAAGCGAAGAAGGGCTGGGGTCCAGGAAGGATACAAGGAGTCACTTGGTTCCTACCAGGGGGGCATTAACACCCGCAGCCGCCCCTCCTTCAACAGTAGGAGATGCTTCTCAGTTATTATCTCCTTGCCCGGGGATCCTCCTTCTATTGTATGTTGTCCTCTTATGAAACTGATGAGAGCTCCCTCCAATACCCTCTCTAAGCCCCAGCCCTCAGAGTCTCAGAGGTGGGTTCACAAATGGTGTTAATTTGCATTTCACTGGCCCATATCAGTCAATCTCTTTTAACATCTACCCCCAACCTTGAGCTCAGTTCTTCTCTCCGGAGAATGCCCATCTGATTCCTGTCTTTTTTGTCCATAGTTTTCCATTTCTCCCCTTCACCTCTTTTAAACTCTCTCACCTCCAATGACAGGCACGGAAAGGTTCTCAGCTCGGGACACAACCTTGGGCAGGTCACAGGGCAGAAGAACAATGGGGTCAAAGAAGGTAGAGTGGGGGGCGGCAACAAGGACAGGGGCTTGGAGGCGAGAGGCCCGCTGGCCCCGAACACGAATCCGGAGGAAGCCCAGGAGGAAAAAGAGCAGGCGGCTGAGGCCCAGCACCCCGTTGTGGCACACAGTCCTGCAGGGCAAGGGGAGGCGTCAGTGCAGGTGGAGAGCCAGGGAGTCTGATTCTCACTCATGCCCCCAGGCTTAGGCACCTGGAGAACAAGTGCCCTTTTGTCCTCTATTACTCTGGCTAAGGGGATGGAAGTCTGTGGCTGCTTTGGGACATAGCAGGGCACATCACTTAATGCTGAGGTCCTGGCTATCAGGTCTGAGCCTGGCTGACTCATCTCACCTTGCCAGGTTGGGTACCATAGCTTCAGAACCCTCCCTCCTTTTCTCAAAGAGGGAGCAGAATAAACAGCAACAGACAGAAGTGAGAAGTAGGGGGTCTGGGGGCTGATTCCTCACTTACTTCCTCCATCCAGTAAGTGGCTCCTGAAGCTGCTCCTCAGAAAGACCAGCTACTTGCAGCCAGGCAAAGGGCCAGAGGAGAAAGAGGACGATAAAGGCCAGAAGCACTCGGATGGGGGCCAGTAGTGCCCCTAGCAGGCAGAACTGCAGAGGGTGGAAGAGAATGCCACTTTAGGGCTGCGAGATGCTCCCTGCTCCCTCCATGTCTTTCCCTTTCCCACAGGATGGACCCAGGAGCAGAGAGCCCCCACCCACTGTAGATAGGGAGACAGGTGGTATGGGAACAGGAGACTGAGCTGGCATCCAAGGTGGAAGATATCGAGAACAAGTAGACTAAAGATTAATAGGATCAGGGGCCTCATTTTCTTATCTTTCAGTTGGTTCCTATCCCACCTATAAAATCGAGTGTCCTAAAATGCATCTAAAACTTGGAGAGGCTGTTAAGCGTATTTAATGATAACCCATGCGAACCGCTCAGCAGTGTTTTCTGCGCAGTAGGCTAGAGATAGTTCCTTCTCACCCACGTTCCATTCCATAAATAGCTCCCAGGTCCAACAGAAACCAGAATGGTTCTTTCCACTTTGGGCCTGGGAGGCAGAGGCTTGGAACACACAGAAATCCACTTTTCAGGCCGCAGGCTTTCCTCTAGGTCTGCCCAACAGCACTCACCTAGTACCGTGGCGGTGGGGGAAGAGAAGAGTTTAGCCCTACTCCGAAGCATAGGGGTTGCCTGGAGCCAGGGTGACTCCAAAGGCTGCTCAGGGGAGAGTGCAAGTAAACAAACCGAGCCCCAGTAGCTCGCCTCAGGAGAGGTAATGGCAGCAGAAACCTAGGACACTCACCACACCACTCATCAGTTTCTCTAGGCTGGTGCGACCCTGCACTTCCTGTGGCCAACCCCCTTCCAACCTCCCCCCTCACCAGGAGGTGCTGCAGTGCAGGGCTGGCGGGGAAGAGGGGAGTGGAAAGAGGGGGCGTTGGAAGGGCACAGGGGCGCAGACTCCGGGCCCAGAAACCCACTTCCTTTCATTCAGAGCCTCGGAGAAACATTCAGTACGCCCCTGCCCCCACCCCCGGCTTTCCGTAGCCTTCAGCTCCATCCTAGCCCAAGGGCCTCCGCAAGATGTAATTCGCCTTATCCAGTTCCTCCATCTCTGCCACCCTTCACTCCACGGCAGTCCTCCATCCTCACCTAGCCAATTCTTCCACACCTTGGAGCTTGCCTATCGCCCAAGCCTGCGTCCTCTCCAGGAACTCCCAGATCATTCCTCCCACTCGTCCCCCACGTGCGCACCCCCGGACTCCCATCCCGCAAGCCTCCTTTCTGGACCCCCACCCTTATTTTTGCCAGGGCTCTAAAGGGCCTCCTTTTCCTATCCTCAGGGGTCATTCCGACGTCACTCGTCCACACCTTACCTTAATCCTCTGGAGGCGGGAGAGGTGTAGCTCATGCACGAACGGGTTGGGGGGCGCTGAGGATGCGGAGGTGGGTTCCAGGGGGACCCAGTCCCCCGGACTTCCCTGGCTCATAGCGGCGGGAGAAGATGGGAGGGAGGGCGCCCCGGCCGCTGCTCCCGGCCCTGCTCTGCAGAGCAGCAGCTGCGGCAGCAGCGGCGCGGCGGCCTCGCTCCGGCCCCAGCCCCGCCTGATGCCGGGCGCCGAGGGGCGGGGAGCAGGCGACGCGACCCGGCCTGCGTTGTCAGGGAGCCGGCCGAGGGGCGGGGCTTCCAACGCCCCGGCGCCCAGGGTCCGTGGTGCCTGCCGCTGCGCCCGCAGCCCCTCCGGCCATTGTTAACAGGCGGCCGGATGCTGGGGCGCGGCGCCCGCCTGGGGAATGTCCTGGAGCCTGGCCCTCCGGGCGTTTCTTTCCGACGATCCGGCCGTTGCCTCCCTGCGGGATTCCGGCTGGGAGCGGGTTTGGGGCTTCGAGGTGGCGCAGAGCCAAGATAGCCCTCCCACCGGGCTCGCGCGTCGAGGTCACCCTGCGGGCACAGACTAGGGTGGGGTCCTATGGCTGATGGGAATGGAAGGGCGGGTGCTCTGTGCGCGGAGGCCGGCAGCTGCGGGGCGAGGCGGGTTCCAGCTCTCGCTCCCGGGTGCTGCTACCCCTCGGAGGCCGACCACCTTGCCTTCCTGTTAGAGGCGTTGTCATCGCTCGTGCACTTGAGGAGCTCGCGCCCCCTGGCGGTCGCGGTGTGCCTCACATCTCTGCCTTCGATCCCTGGCAGCACTAGGCAGGGTTGATTGCTCCGGTGTAAGAGGACTCCTTGAATCCACCAGTCGCCTGCCACTCTCAAGACGCTGGGCCACATGCTTCCCACTAGCCGACAAGCCAGGGTTGGGGGTGGCAGTGGGAACCAGGAAAGCTGGGATGACTCCAGAGACAAACCTAGGTTTTCCTTTAGTGTCTCTTGTATTCCTGTCTGTCTCCTTTGTATGAATGAGGACAAATACCCTTCACCCCGAAACTACAAACTATACTAGAAAAGTCATAAACTAGACAGCCACTGGTTGTCAGGTGACGGTGAGAGGGAATTGGGTGGCCTTTGAGACCCACAGCCAGTGGAAAGAAGCTGTCTTCGGTTCACCTTGTTTTATTTCTGTCTTCTGCAACCGTTAATCAACACTTCATGAGCGTAGTGAGGACAATAGCAGATCAGTGGGCAGCTGCACCGAGTACCATTAATCTTTTGTTGGAAGGAGAATTAGGCAAAACCCAGAAGTCATTCTGCTTCCCTCCAGACCTCCTTAACCGCCCCATAATTGACCCACTTACACTCCTGTGTATGTCCTTAGGAAGAAAGCAGTCAACATTCTTGGAGAAATAAAAGGATATCCTACTCAGTATTTATTTCTTCAAGATTTTTAGAGAAAATTCCATAGTTCTCTCTTTCCTGTTTTTAAATTATTAGTAATTTCCAGCTTTGATATATTGACATATAACAAATAAGTTTAAGGGGTACAAATGATGATTAGATATAAGATATATCTTTTACCTACAATTTATGGGAAGGCAGGTTACTGTATTCTTGGGTTTTCCAAGGTAGTTTCAATAGTTTAATAATTTTTAAAAATTAAGGCAATTCATTAAATGCATAATGACACATAATTTGCTTTTTATGTCTTGAATATTTTACATAAATTATCTAAAACCATACCAAGGGGAGATATTAAACTTAGGACTCAAACCCATATAGTAATAATAATTATATGCAAATTACTATGTTATTAAATTATGGATAACCACATACTATGAATATATAGAGAAAGTTTTTCTTTTTTTTATCCTCACCTGAGGATATGCCCATTGATTCTAAAGAGAGAGGAGGAGGGAGGGAGGAAGAGAGAGGGAGAGAGAAACATCAGTGGGAGAGAGGAACATCAATCAATCAATGTTCCGGTTGATGGAACAAAGTCCCAGTGGAGATGGAACCTGCAGCCTAGGAGTGTGCCCTGACCAGGGATCAAACTCACAACCTTTTGGTGTACGGGACGATGCTCCAACTAACTGAGCCATCTGGCCAGGGCTAGAGAATGTTTTGATACTAACTTCTAATTCTTTCTCTCTCTCGTCCTGATAAAAATCAAGAGTATGTCTTGTGTGGGTTTCTATTCCATCATTTTTTTGGTTCATCTTTCATGTCTCTTGCAATGTTCTTGCTTCTTGCTACCCTCTACCAGGTTGTAACTTCATTCTCAGATTTCTTATTGATTGCAGAGCAATCTAAGTCTTTGTGGCACATTCTTAATATTTTAAATGTCTTCATTAACTTTTGCTAAAATGTGCTATTAGCTGTTTATTACCATGGACCAGTTTCTTTGTTTTTGCCTCCCTACTTGCCTTTTTCTAATTTAGAGGCTCTAGTATAATTCATTCTGCCAGTGCTGATGGGCCAGAGGTTTCATACGTTTTGTCTCCTTTGTAGAGTAACTTCGGATTTGTAGTGGACTTGTTGGTTTTTTTCTCCCCTTTCCTCCTTAACAGAATTTTGATTTAGTTCTGGTATGTAGCTGCTCCCACACCCATTTGCCTCAGGGACATCCAGGTTGGATGGAACCCATCTGAGGTAACCCTTTTCTCCTGCTCAGAGACTGATTTGGAATGGATGTGTGACTCTGGACAGTGAGACACGAAGGAAAATCTGCCAAGGAGCTTCTGGAAAATTCCCTTACTTTTCATGAGGATGCCTTACAAATTAACACTTTCTTTTTATCCTCTGGATGTTTCTGAATGTAACACCTATGGCTGCTGGAGCCATTTTGCAACTACCCTGAGGATCAGCTATCACTAGGATAGCAGAGTGGTGAGATGCGAAGAGTCTGGATCTTTAATGACAGAATTGAGCCTCTGAACAGACGAATTTGAAGTCTGAAGTCCTTCCGGACTTCTTGTTATATGAGAAAAATAAATTTTCTTGCCCATTAAACCAGTTTGAGTCAGAGATTTCCTTATGTGCAAAAACCCACTGTGTAAGATTTCTATTGCCATGTAACAAATTGCCATACAATTAGCAGTTCAAAACAGCCTACATTTATGATCACAGTTTCTCTAGGTCAGAAGTCTAGGCAGAGCTTAGTTAGGTCCTCTGCTCAGGGTCTCACAAGACTAAAATCAAAGTGTTGCCAGGGCCATGTTCTTTTCTGGTGGTTTGAGTAGGGAAGGATCTGCTTCCGAGTCTTCTTAGTTGTTGGCAGAATTCATGGCAGCTTGATTCTTAGCCAGCGCCAGGGAGTGTGGCTGCTTTGAGTCTTTGACATCAACGTTCTCTTTTAAAGGCCTCACCTGATTAGGTCAGGCCCACCAGGGTAATAATGCTTTTGATGAACTCAAAGTCAACTAATTAGGGACTAAGGATCTTAACTGTATCTGAAAATACTGGTCACCTTTGCCATGTGATTATGTAGGTGATATCACCTTTGCCACATTCTGTTGTTAGAAGCAAGTCAAGGGGAGAAAATTACACATAGGCATGCGCACTAAGGAGGCAGGAGGCACAAGGCCGCCCTAGAGTGTGTCCACTATAGACACTCACTGATTCAGGGTTCAGGATGAAGATTGTTTCCCCACTGTGGAGATTTATACTTATTTTTCATGGGTAAAATTAAATTCTCTTGTTCAGAGTTTATTGTTTAACCATTTTCACACTCACAATGACATGAGCAATACTGAAATGCAGATAGAAACAAGTGGTCCTAGAGTATAACAAAGGGAACAACTAAGTAGATCATGATATCTCTAGAGAGACTTCCTAAAGAGGGTCATTTGAATTAGATCTTGATGAAAAAGGAGTTCTAAAGAAGTCACAGAGGAACAAGTTCGACAGAAATAGGAGCACTTAGTCACAGATAAGAGAAAGTTAATGAGGGTAGGAATACACCCATGTGGTCAGGCTGCTGGAAGGATTATGATAGGAAATTAGGCTGAGGGAGAGATTGAGAGGTATTGTGCAAAACCTTTAAAGTATTCTATATAAGTTGTACTTCTTCCTACCTCTAGAAAAGAGTCTGTCAATCAAAAAGTCAATAAAAAATATGGCAGTGTTCTGTGGTAGTTTCATATACATCTGTATACTAATATGTATAGTCATACATATTGTGCTTATACAGGTAAGGTGAGTTCTAGTCTTTATTCAGCTTGCAGATAATGTTTCGTGTTTCTATGGATTTTCCAGACTCATTGGAATTACTCCATTCAGTAGTATACCTAGCATATTTGACCCCTGGGCGGGGCCCTTATGGTGGAATTGTGCTACTGTAAGAGAAGCCAAAGGGCTTGTTGTCTCTGGGACATGTGGACACACAGTGAGCGGCTACCATCTGCAAGCCAGGAAGAAAGCCCTCACTATAAATGGACCATGAGCTCACACTTTCAGCCTTCAGAATTGTGAGAAAATAAATTTTGATCTCTGGGGTCACCCATGGTATTTTGTTGTGGCAGCCTGAGCTAAGACACTGTCGCTATATTATCATTGTTTATCTCAAACGTACTGTTTAAACATAGGCATAGGGAGTACCCGAGGGGCTGGAGACAGGAAGGATGCAAGTTATCTGAAATGATTCCAGATGTTTGCAAAATTACGCTCTAAATGAGTGGGAATAGCTACTGAGTCTGTTTGTGTCTGGGGGCAACTGTATAACGGAGAATTCTTCAGTTAAATCCCATGCAAAATATGATGTTTACTAAAAGGCATGTACTAAAAATGTCCAATTTGAAGCTTAAATAAATGTTATTCAAAATCAAAAGTAACTAGAGCAATTGTTTGAAACTTGGACTCAGGTTTTTTTCTGAGAAGTGTTTTATCACCGACATTGTTTAGAATTGTTGGCACATAGTGATAATTAAATGCTGACTGATTTTTAGACAGTTTTATTATTGTTTTTATATTCTCTACAGACAATGCACACTCTTATTGTCTGCACCTGGGGCTCACCCCCTCCATCACCCTGCCTTTGGTATCCTGCTGACTCCATGATCTTTTAGGCGCATGGAAGCTACTGGTCTAGATTGGGAGACTAGGAAGATTTGGGGTTGACTTAATTTAAACATATTCACCCAGAGGCACCAGCCAGATCCAGGTGGCATTGTCTACTAGGACCTTAAAAATGAGGATCCGGGGCTTGGGATGGACATCAATGTTTTGGAGGGAT